GTCTAATAACTGGTTTTCCCTACATTGCTCTGTGGCAAGCCCTTGCTACCGACTGCTTGTGCAGCACAGCGTGGCTGCCAGAAACCCTACAGCCCTTCAGGTCAAGACCATCCAAACTAAGCTAAAAACAGAGAAGTTGCTGATTTGCAAAACTCCAGTGGTTTAAAAGGTAGGCATCACTGGAGGCAAAGCCACTGAAAAGCCAAGGTGATGCTGCCCTTGGTAAGGTTTTACTACACCAGGGGAGGGTTGCTGCGCCACGCCGGAACAGGCAACCTTAACATTTTGATGCAGCTCCTTCTTAAAAGTTACATTTACATTTTGTTTAACTCACATTTAGGGAAGACAAGAGCAAACCCACAGGCGATATGCAAAACAAGATATGTATTTATTTTTAGAAAAGCAGTCAGGTTTATGTACAGTGAGCCACAGAGGAAGAGTAAAACCACACCCCGCCATCTTCACGATCCTTCCAACGTGCCTTCTTTGATGATGACACGTGCAAGATTTCGTGCAAGAGCAAGTCTCAGCATTTCCACTTTTGTAGTCTCGACATCATCATCCTGAAAGCGAGCAGAGTTTGGATTAGACTGCTACACACAGTGTGAGCTGGTGATGGGTTCTCCTTCTGGGTTTTGGAAAGGAAGGCTGAAGGGGGACACTATGTATATTCACCTGTTATAGGGACCTCCTGAGAAGAACAAAAGCTACATTGCCCAGTTTATAGATCAACACAAGACAGCGTTGCCAAGCTGGTTCTTTTCCTGGCAGCTGCAGAGGTTTGCATGTGCAGCAAAGGGTCCCTGTTTGGTGCCTGGAATGCTCCATAGCTTGAGCTGCTACATGGCAGCATCTCAGCTTTTCATTGCACATGTAATGTGCAATTATTTATCTTGGAAAAGCATCACAGCCCCATCCGCCTCAGCAGAGCACTGAGGAGTGGAAGTACTCTTGGACTGACTCTGAGGATACTGAAACGATGACACTTTATTTGGCTGGCCTTTAAAAATAGGCCCTGTACCAGCCTCGGTAGCTCAGGCTCTCCCACTTCCCTGCCCCCACACAGGAGTGTAAATCTAGAGCTTGCTCTCCCCACACCCCCACCAATTCATTAGCCAGCTGTCCTCAAAGCAAGAGCTACCTGGGATTTCTGCTTCTCTGACTTCCCTGCTGTCAGGTCTTCCAGGCATCTCATCAACTCGTAAGTCTGCTCTGCTGAAAATATGACCTGTGGGAATGAAAGTATTCACTGAAAATGATGACGTTAAGGACACGGCACAGTCTGAGAGAACTCGGCTGAGAGGAAGGAACCATTTCAGTCCTGCAGATCCCTTCTGACACTTTACATCATGGGATCAGAGGCTGTTACAGACTGGAAGTGACTTCAGGGGGTCTCCAGTGCCACCTCCTGCACAAAGCAGGGTCAGCTGTGAGGTCAGACCTGGTGCTCTGGGTTTCATCCAGTCATGGGTCTGTACTTACTAAACTCATTTTCTTGATGGATCTCAAAGCAAAAATGGGACTTGGAAGAAGGAAGCACACTAGAAAAATCTCCAAGCCAAGCACCAGAGGGACTGGATGCAGTGTGTGCTTCAGTCATCAGCAGTGGGGTATTCTCCTGTTTTCTGTAAGTTCAGAGGTATCCCCCTGTCCTGGGGTCCTGTGCCCTCCCTCTGACAGGACCCCTGGGCAGCCGTGCAGCTCTGGGACTGCCACCACCTTCTGCACGAGCAGAGCTGGCCCTGGCAGCAGAAGCGGGGTCACCGCTTTGAGGTGCCTTCACAGGAAGAACAGAAAGGGTGTGGGGGGCTCCGTGGTGCATGGCCAGCATGCTCACCTCTCTCTGCTCCAGCAGGGGCAGGGCGTCTGTCAGCAGGGTCATCCAGAAGGAGCAAGGAGCGATGTGAGCCGTCATGAGCAGCAGCAGCAGCTTGGCAGCCTCGGAGAACCGCTGCTCCCCGTACAGCCGGTGGAACTCCCGGTACTTGCCTGCGCACGGGGGGTGGTGAAGGGCAAAAGGAGTCAGCATCTGTCAGACCCAGGCCCGGGCTACTGGAGGTTTGGGAGGTTCTGTTTGCTCCCATGAAGCCTGTGGTAGAACAACCCCCACCTGAAATAAGTCCCCAGAGCAGCTGAGTCTGAGGGAATGGGGATCTTGGGCATGAAGTCTGAAGAGAGGCTGGCTGAAAAGGCAGCCAGAACCCTGTTACTGATCCCAGTTGGGTTTCCTGCTCCTGGCCAGCTTTACTGTCTGAACCAGCCTGTTTGCGAGCTGACGCTGCCTGGTGCTGGGTGTTTGCAGGGTGAGGAACAGCACCAGTGGCCTAGAGGGACTGCTGGCATTTGCAAAAACCAGGAATGGGAGGGGAGAAGCAGGGGGTGAATGTTCCTTTTGATATCACAGAGTATCAGGAGGTCTGAAAGGCTTCACTGTCTTTCTCATTGTTTAAATGGAAACCGAGATCTTTGTTAATATGGAAAGTTCTGCTTTTCCTAAAAGCAAGTTAGATCAATATCCAGAACATGAGAACTGGATGAGGATGAAAGTGAGTTTTATTCTGTGGCTTTGTCTGTATCCACTAAACTGTCAACATACTGAAGTAATGATTCCCATTCAGATTCACCTTTGACTAATGCCTGAGCTCAAGACAGAGACATGGGAAAGTTTTCCAGCAAAAGTAAACCTGATGTTTCTAAAACCTCCAAAGGAAAAACAAGCAGAAATATTTTCAGGACTTTTTATACAAAGCAGAAATGGAGGTAATTTCTCTATAAACAGTTATACAACTAAACTACGAATCTCTGGGGCTGCTGCAAGGGTCACAAGGTGATGCTGGGTACACAGAGCTATGAGGGGTTACCAGTTTGGTAAGATGCAGCTTCTAGGCTGAATTTAGGATAAGGTTTAAATGAAGGAAATAGAGTTCCAGTTTTGCAAGCTTGTACCAAATGGGAACAGATCCAATTCAGGATCTCCCTCACTGTAATGCTGGTGTCTGCCAGAAAGGAGCCAGCCCAATTGCCAGCACCTATTCCAATTAGGTTTTGGCCCCAGTAGCTGGGCTTGGTAACTGCCCCAGCTCCAGAGAAAGTAACTTAAATCTTAAATCAGTGGTTCACTCTTCCAAGGAAGAATTCTAAGGTCTTCCAGACTGCGTCTGCTAATATTTCAAAGTCTCTATCTCTGTGATAGAGTCTGGAAAAAGACTCA